CTTTGCCCCTCCCCCGATTCACCACCACTGTGGTGGCGCCGGTACACGGGGCAAAAAAGGGGGGTTTTCCACTTTGGGTGAAATGGTTCGAAACCGGAATTGGGGCTCGATTTTCGCTCGGGTTTTCTCCTTGGTGGCAATAAGTCTCGAAAATGGTTGAGGTAAGTTATGAGTTATGTTATTTTCTTGGTTTTGGTAGTTGTCTTGTGTTGGTTTTTGAGGTGTGGTCTCTATTAAATGGTTTGGAAAGTGGAGTTCGAATTTTTTTGATTTTCAGCTTGTGTGTGTGTAGTCGAGCGACCTGGGTGTGTGCGAAGTTTGTGGTTGGTGGATGGGTTGAGGCTGCAGCTGAGTGGAATGGTGGTGTTGGTGAAATGGGCTGCATTGGGTGGTTCGAGCTTGGTGGTTGGTAGTGAGGTGGTGAAATGGTCTCGGTTTTGAGTTTTCGAATTTTTTTTTTTTTTTTTTTATAAAGATTTTAATTAAAATAAAATATCTGATTTTAGAAATATTAAACTTCAAATCTGATTTTAGAAGTTTAAAAACTTAAAGTATGGTTTCATGTAATTACTACTATTTTCTATCTGATCTTTTAATGGGTGGATCATACGATCCGACTCATATTTAACAATGATACCAAATAATATTGCAACAAATATTTCATCTTTGAATTGACACAAATCCAACTATCACATCAATTTTAATCGTTGAAACTCTTTCGTCGTGATCTATCAACGAGGAATCAACAATGAAATTTAGTTGTTGAATATCATCAACGACGAAACATGGAGTTTTAACAATGACCTTTTCTATGTCAAAACTCAAATTTGTTGTTTGCGAGATTCTTTTCTCTTTTACTGTTTTTTTCTTTTTTCTTTTTCATTGTTCCCCTTTTTCTTGAAGAAGAAGATAAATTTGTAATCAAAATCTTAAATAATGGTTAATTTTAAGTTCATTAATAACTTCCAACATTTTTAGGTCATGATAAAAATGGTCTTTTATCATTGTAGTTTTTATTTTCATTTTTTCTTAGGGGGTGGTAATTTTTTTTAATGATTATACGCGATACTTTTTTAGTAAATTTCAAGGAAAACCTTTAAAATAAAGTATACATAAGTTTATAAAAGTACATAAAATTAAGTCCCTAATGTTTAAAACTTAGATTTTAATTTATGTCAAAGTGAATAATGAATTTTAATTACATATTTCATGAGACCTACAATTTTTCAACCACACATTTCAACAACTTTTATGAGAATTTACTAAAAATCTAATTTTAATCCCTACCAAACAGGGCTTAAGGATATGAAAATCAATCGAAGTTTTTAAAAATAAAAGTCTTCGTAACTTCGTAGAATCAGAAAAGTCAATAAAAGTTGTAAAACTTTTCAAAAGTTAATTACTTTAAAAAATTCATAAATATATTTGAAACTCCAGACACACCCCCTAAATAGAAGTGTACATGATACGAGCATCAATAATGATAGTGTAAAATAGAGATTTAGATAGCTAAAGTGGTCGAAAACCTCCCCAATGGAGAGATGGAAATGAGATATAAATTGCATTTTTAACAAAAAATGTAAAAATAAAATGCAAATTTCCATTTTTTTTTTTTTACATCTACCTAACGTGAAAAGTGAATTTAGATCTTTTCATTGGAAAATAATTTGAATTTTGATCCATCGGGATGTAAATGAGAATTCAAAAGTGGTTCGGAAGATATCAGTTTATACCAAATTTTACACTACAATTGGAGATGCTCTAAATAAAGGAAGATACATATGTAATATGTCGTTTATTCTATGCAGTTATGTTTAATCAGACATATAAATTATACTTATGAAGTATTAACTTAACTTGAAAGAAATTACAAACATACATATAATACTCAAATAGATGTTTTAGATCTATTTTCTTTTAGAAGTCATAAAACATTTTTATACATAGCATTGACCAATTCACCCAATAATGTGAATGGGGAAAAGTTTAGTAATGCCAAAAGATTTGGAAATATTTCAACTATTGCACATTATTTGGTAAGAAAAAATGGCTTTTGTATTCTTATTTAAAGTTCCAAATGACAACTTTTTCTCGATAATACCACAAAAAGTTGGAACCTTTTCTTGATGACATTAATTTCTGCACTTTAGGAACATATGCAATTACAGTGAGACTTCACTCTCTTTGATTGGTCCTCCTTATGACTATTGAAGCAAGAGATTTCTTTATTATGAAATAAAAGCATTTTCTATGAAACTAATTTGTCAATTAAATACTAGCATTTTATTTATAAATGGTAGGGGTACTCTATTATTGTTTCTAACACTAGTCGAAGGCACGAAAGAATTCATCGTCGTCCAATCTCCATTTTTCTTCGGCCATTATATTGAAGTAATTTAAAGAAATTTGAAGTTTTTCCGTCCAGATAAATAAAGTAATTTATTTTCCATAGTGGGAACATGATGCTACTAAAAATCTGTACATCCTAGACTTCGCCTTAACTAGAGAAAACCCGTCCGAATAAATTTTTGTACAGCTTTGGCATTTATTTTATAAAATAATCTGTGAGACTTCATTGGTTCAATTTGTCAAGACAAACTTGAAACTGGGTAGAATTATTCACACCTGTTGGGTCTTGCCCAACTTTAACATCCATGTTCCCAACAAGGACAACAGATTAATAATATATTGCTAAAAATAAATTTGAAGGACAAAGGAAGATATTGACTATATAAAATTTGTTTTTGATTAAGATAACATGTTACAATTATAATTTAAAGTATAAACTATGTACGTTCTAACTTTTAAGAGGAAATTTTGTATCAACCTTTCATGTCTATAGCGATTCCAATTAATTCAGTTGAAATATTATAGAGACATGTTACTTTATTTGAAGAACTCTACGTATCTATTAAGATAGATGTGTTTAACTCTGATTAATCCATATGAAAATACGTATTGAGATTACTCCTTCGTGACCTAGGTGAACTTTTTGATCCAAAAAGGTCTAATTCGGGATTGACGACTCATGGAAACACCCAATTCACATAGACTACGCTAATCAATCAATATAAATAAGCCTTTTTTCCACTAACGAGAAAACCCTCGATAACTTTTTGTAGATACACCTTCTAGAATATTTTATAATCTTAATATTCTACTAGTAATCAATTTGCAATCTACAAACAAGAAGGAAAAAAAACACAGGTTTTCCCATTTTCTTGGTTTCTTTTGTCCCAAAACTTCCTTCATCTGAACACAATTCCCCTTTAACTGTCTGTCATATAAAGTATTTGACAAGAAAGATTAGAGAAGAACAAATCAGGTAAGAAACACGACAATTTTGGCAAAAGACACAAACCCACTTTTTTACAACCATATTCAAACGTTTCAATTGCCCTTTTCTTCTGGCCTAGCCGGGCCGGTCGACCCACACAGAGATATCTAGAGAGAGAGAGAGAGAGAGAGAGAGGCAAGAAAGAGAAACACGATTTCTTCCCTCTTTAGATATGGTCGGTTTGGTCAAATACCGGCCGTACGCTTTATACCCTCCACATTTATGTACACGTTAGCCTTTTAATTCAAGATTTATATAAAAAATTTGGTAGACAGAGAAAAAAGGGGCTGTATGTATAATGCATGTATCTTGAGCACACGTAGTTGTGACATAGGGCTGACGTACATGGAGTGCTTTAGGGGTAACAACGTTTTGACTTTAAGATCACGTTCGAACCTCTTTATTATTTTTTTTTTTAACGAAAAAATACATTTTGAAATAGTATTTTGATGGAGTATGTGTAATTGAAAAATAAGAAATTTTTTTGAGCTTGTATATAATATTATTTTATTGAAAAATATATGATTAAAAATAAGAGAGCAAAAAATATATTTTAAAAATAATTGAACCAAACCATGGCTAAGTATGAAATCTTGAAATATATGTATTTTAAGGCAAGGAGTTGACTACAATGCAAAGTGTGGATGAATTTGAGGCTACAATTTTACAAATGGTGGCTTTTTATTGGTTTTCCAAACTTTAATGATTGTTGTACACTCATAAAAGTCGTAGAAAATCATATAACGGCAGAAAAAAAAGGTTGTACTTTTGAGGTTCCAATATTGTTCATTTCAATCATTTGTGTTTTTTATGATTAGGAGTAAGAGACTTTTAGCCTTCGATGATTGTCGGGGGCTGATTACAATAAATTTTGGTACTTGTTACATGGAAATAATTCAGCTTAGAGTGACCTCTAATCTTTGCTCGATTATTTTGTTTAAAGGTGTGAAATTGAATTATAAAGATGCAATTAATAAATTTTGGAGTACGGGTTGACTTTGGTTGTATGTCTGCTCGATTATCGTGTTTAGGATTGTAAAAATGAATTGAAACTGCGTAGACAATAAATGCTTTCAAATTGGAAGGCAAAGCTAAATATTAGATTTGGGGGTGTAGAAATAAATAAAAAATGCTACAATTAGCCCTGGTTTTGTTTCATTTCATTTACTTTACTTTAATTTATTTTTCATATTCATTTTCAATTACGTAAATTCAAAATTTTTTCTACTTTTTAATTTAATTTGTTATATAATTTATAGACTGGTTTGAAAAGATTTGACTTTAACTTTAATTAAAAAAATTAATTTTAATTTTTTATAAAACACGGGCTAAATTAATTAATAATTGGCGCCTCCAAAAAGGGCCCAATCTGCCAATCGGGTCAAAAGCTGACATGTTCAGCCTCCTAAAGTGGGACCACATCCTTATTATTATTATTATTTATACCACGTGTCCTATGCTGACTCGACACGTGACCTCATTAACTTCAGGGTAGGATAATTGAAATTAAAAATTAGCACAAGAACCGCGCCATGATTTTCAATAAGCCGTTTCCAAATGGTCCCCAACACATTTTGTCCCACTTAATCCAACCACTGCTTCAGCCAAAATAGCCAAGCAAATGTACTTTAATTAATTTACAAGTGAAAAGGAAGTTATGTTATTATACAGGTGGGCCACAATTCCGGCCACTGTCGGCGGGGCTTCCTCCGGTGGGCGACTGTTGGGATCCACGAAACCAGTTGGATTAATAGTCAGTCATTTGGGCAAGTAAAAAACTATTATTAATTATCAGTAAGATATGATTTACTCCGAATAATCAGACAAGGATCCTATTTTAGCAGAAATTATCATAAAATTAATATTATTTTGTCCGTATGTGGAAGTCATCATAAAGTCACAAGTTTAGTGAATTATATGCCATATTTATATATTCAAAATACATTGTTAATTACATTAATATTTTGAATTGTCGATTAATTATTTTTGTGCGATAGTCTGTCCATCCAAGTCAAATTGACTGTAATAAGAAATTAATTATTTGAAGTTACTCTGCCTATAACATGATTTTAATTGAATTGAATCTTCTTCACGTAGCCAACAACACTTCTAATTTTTTTTTTCCTGTAATTCAATATTGTAAACAATTTCAGGTGAAGCAATATAAAATGGAAGACGACGAGACGACAAGTTTTGTGTTATGCCACGAACTTTATAAATTTGCGACGATTTTTTTAAACGATAAATTTTACAAGAAACAGAGATTCCATAAAAGCTCAGAGGATTTTTTTTTAATTTACATGAACTCATTAACATCCAAATCTGGAATATTAAACTTCAACAAATTACTGCAGTAACTTTCTTTCTCTTCTTCAGTACTGTTGCTGGTCAATTTGATAGAATTAGAATGCAACTGGGTTGGACTTGATGAAGGGCTTGACATATTGGACAAAAGTGAACGAACGCTGAAATTACTGCTGCCGTTGGATTGAAAAGTTGAAGTCTCTGATGGAGGAGGATTCGACCCGTATACGTAATCATATCCATAGTTTGATAAGGGTACGTAATCTTCTGGCAAAGAAGTTACGTCTATTTGATTGGTTTGCCACTCATGTAGTTGGCAATTTTGTGGGTTGAAGTTGGTGATGTCTGATGGATGGAATTGATTTATGTTCGAGATTGGAATATTTGGAGTTTCCAACGTTGTACAAGTGGGAATATCTTGGTTTTGGAGTTGACAAGGTTGGACTAATGGTGGCACATGATTTTGAAGTTGTGAATTACTGCAAATTTGATTGTCTTGAGCATTGTTTTGTAGCAGAAAATATTGGTTCTGGTTCTGGTGGAATTGGGTGGAGGATAAAAGATTGGCTACCCCAAGGAGTTGTGGGTTTACAAGATTTTGCATTCCAATCAGTCTTGAAATATTCATTTGCGAGGATGAGTTTAGAATTGTGGAGAGATGAAGAAGATCGAGTCGAGGCGTGTGTGTCACAGGATCTATTCCCATCCGAAGAAGCTTTTTCCTAATGTTCGTGTTCCAGTAGTTCTTGATTTCATTGTCCGTTCTTCCTGGTAGACGAGCTGCAATAGCCGACCACCTGTATAGTTCAACTTCATGAGTACCACAGTTAGATAAAGCTCGCGCACCGTTAAAAATCGAGTTTGTAAAAACATACTTGTTCCCCAAGATGCTATGGAGTTGTATAATAGTTTCTTCTTCTTCGAAAGAAAATCTTCCTCTTTTGATATCAGGGCGAAGATAATTAGTCCAACGGAGTCTGCAACTCTTTCCACACCTTAGCAGCCCTACAAAATAAAATCCCATTAGCATAAAACTCGTAAAAGAAAAATAAAATAAAAATTGAAAGCAAAGAGGAGATTCATATATACTAACCAGCATTTTTTGGAAGAGTTCTCCAATTTCCATACCCATTTTTCTGTATATAATCAATGAGTATCTGATCTTCTTCTGGTGTCCATGGACCCTTTTTCAGTCCATTTTTCCCACAACATGGTGCTCTCCCCATTGTTTTGAATTAGCAATGGAGGTTCTAGAGAGAAGAGAGAGAAGAAATTTCTTTAGGTCCGTGCTGTAAAATGAATGTCATGTGTAGTGGCGTGTGTGTGTATATATATATATATATATATATATATATATAAATGGATATGTATACACACACATATGCAAAGAGCAAAGAGAGAGGTTTAAAAGAAAGGGACGAAATCAAAGTCAAAAGAATTAGCCGTCCCTGTTTCATGCTAAGGCGACGTGTCCCCTTCTTTGGAGGAATATAAAGGTTCGTTTGATCGGTAAAAGTGGAAAGGCTTTTCAATTTTATGTAAGTTGGAAAATAAAAATTTAAGTACCTCGTAGAAATGCATTTTTCATTAAATTAGCAAAAAAATAAATTTAAAGTAGTTGTACATTGGAATTCGAACTCAATTTCCATTTTCGTATCAAACAGTTAAAGTTGGAATTGAAATTCTCGGATGTGACATTTTTCATGAAATTTAAATCAATCAAACGAATCCTAAGTGAATTTGACAATAATTTCTCACTTTCATTTGATGTTAAATAATTTGCATTTTATTTCTATAAACAAACACCAATTTACATACGTTTGTTATAACATTAATCTCTTTCGCTGATTTTGTCCCATCATTTTCCAGTGGGTCATCTCTTTCCATTTTGAATTCATATTAGCTGTAGTCAACGATAGTAGGCCACATATCCCACCCCAAATAAAGGACAAACCAAATGTGGACTTTTGTTGGCAAGTGCCTAGTGAGCAAAGTGCCTACATTTAGCCGTGTTTGATAGAAATTAAAATCAGATTTAAATAAGTGATTGAAATATTGTGGATCCCATGAAATGTATGAATGAAGTAGATGATTAAAATTAATTATTGACTTTAATTTAAATTGAAATATGAATTTTAAGCGCTACCAAACATGTGCTAAGTTTAAAACTTCAGAAGTAGTAATTTTATAAATACTAGTCACATGTGAACGTGCATTGCGAATTATTTTGAAATACTTTATAAGTACTGTAAAAATAATATTTGAAAATGCATGAATACATAAAATAGTTAAAAAAAAAAAAATTGTTTACGTTAAATGAACTTTTTACTCGATCAGAATTTCTTTGTACACTATAATTTTTGTGTGATTATAGGTATCTGACCTGTAGAACCTTTGTAGTTGCTATATAATTTTTTCTTGAAAGTATAATGTATCATTGTTTGTGCGAAAGGTATTGTCTGTCTTTTTACTTTGTTAATTGTTATTGCAAAATAAAGACGAATAGGAAAAAATTCATGAATTGTTTTATCTCAAGTTTGAAGACGATAAATAGAGAAAATAATTAAATTAATAATTGAAACCATAGGGCAAAAAACACTTTAATTCTATATCTCAGTGGAAAGTACTTGTTTTATTGGATGTTTACAGTTTGTGCATTATAGAATGACTGCGACTCATTATTAATCAAAAAGGTATATGATTTTGGGTATTTTATTGAGATTTGGTGCCCACATGCATTCACACAAAAAAAAAATTCATGAATTATTTTACCTCAAGTTTGAAGACTATGAACAGAGAAAAAAATTATATTAATAATTGAATATTATGATTATGGATGTTTTATGGATAATAAGATAATATAATTACAAAATAGTCATCGTAATACTCCTTATTAATTGAGATGATCATCAAAATATCAAAATTTTCAACATTGTTGGAATAAGATTCGAATAAATCCTTTCGAACTACTGTCACTTTAATGGGTCATTAATTTTCATATTTCAAAAAATCTCTTATAGGCATTGATTCCATGATACGGGAGACCTAAATATTGGATGATTGAAATGAAATAACAACCAATTTGTGATAATAACACTCATGAGAACAATCAAATACATTCATGAACAGAGAATTTAATTAAATTTGAATTAATGAATATAGAAAAATAATACTCCATCTGTCTCATTTATATATGCTAGTTTTGTTTTTCACACGGATTAAGAAATCTTATTTAATATTATTGAAAAATGAATTTTTAACAAAAACATTCATAGTTTACCCTTATTTAATTATCAACAACTAGTAGTAAATTAGTTATAATTAGGCAAATTAAATAAGAGTATATTAGTAAATGAACAAAATAAAACATTATCAATAAAGAAACGTGCCTATATAATTGTGACAAGAAAATAAGGAAAGACAGCCTATATAAATGGGACGGGGAGAATAATTTATAAACACGTGATCTTGAAAATTAATTTAGACAAAAGAGTATGTACGATCTAGAGTACAAATTTATATCATTGATTTAATGAATAATCTTGAAAATAAATAAATGTATGCAAACTTAAATAATTTATTTACTCATACAGTAATTGAATAGCCCTCAAAACATATAAAGTATACACGAACTTGAAGAATTAATTTGCACCATTTTGACCTAAATATGATAAAAATGCAAGTCCCTGAAAAGAAATTTTAATTATTATACATGCATGTAAATAGTGAAATGCATAATTGAATGTTAAATACATGATCAAAAATGAAAAGCAACGTATTATTGAAACAATTGAATTGTAGTAAGGCTAGAATCGTCCAAAAAATGATTTCACTCACGGAACAATCAAATACATTCATGAATATGAAATTTAATTAATTTGAATTAATGAATATATAATAATAATAATAATAATAATAATAATAATAATAATAATAATAATAATAATAATAATAATAATAATAA